GGTCAAAGTCTTAGAAGAAATCAAAACCAATATCAAATTCAAATTGGAAGGGTGCCTCAAAGGTGCCAATGGAGGTCTTGCTTAAGTCCTGACTGCCATCACTCAAAGATCTGCTGTTGGAGTCGCGACTGCTGTTGCTGTTGCTAGTACTGTCGCTACCACTGGTTGTACTGCTGCCATCATCACTATTCAAGCTCATAGGTTGGTAGGACGAGTGGTCCATATTGTCGATGTTGTTGGAATCCAGTAGATTGCTTGATATGTGGTGTTGGAGGCACTTGGTTGTGTCAGAACCTACGCATTACAATGGTTGTGGAAGATTCGGCTGAGACAGGCAAAATCCGGCTGTCGGTTTTCGGCGCCGAGATATTGCCCAAATATTCGGCCGCCGACCAACCGAAATCCGGCCGCCGACTCAGTTTTGGAGGGAAAATGTTCGTGTGGACGTGTTTTTTTTACGAAACCGAAACCGAGAAACGAAAAAGACCCAAAACACTCGGTTTTCGGTTCGCGGCGTGGAAACAGCCTTAGTTTAACGACCTAGGATTGCCCGGTAGAATAGCCATGTTCGCAACTACGATGGGACTATCATCTACATTTGCTCCTCTTGCTGGAAGTGGTAGTATAGTAGTCTGCGGCCAGTATTTGCTTGTTGGAGTTTTATTCGCAAGCCACCTTCAATTGTTCCGCCAAAAGCACGAATGTTGTTGTTTAGAATTCGATCACGATGCCGGATGTAGGCTCTCAAGTCTGAAGCATTTGTATTAGATCGAGCAGCAACGTTGCTCAATTGTTGTTGCAGTTGCTGGATACTTATCTGGATGCTTTGGAACAAGTCTCCTAAGTTGAGTTCCCTGCCACCACGCCTCCACCAGCACCAGTGCCCCCATCACCGTCTATAATAATAACCTCATCAATCGTCAACTGGTCTTCCCTTCTTTTTTGGCTGGTTGTTGTATATCAGGCAGCAATGTATGGGCGGCACTGTGGATTATCTGATGGCATACCAATGCCAAGTAGCCTAGTAGTAGAAGGAGGCGTCGGAATGGTCGTTATTGGCTGCTGCTTCCTCCATCACGACGTCACCTACTGTCCATATTTGCTTGTTCTTCTGCAGTTGTTTGACCCTCATTGAATCTCTCAAAGAAGAAGGATCGAGAAAGTGTAATTTTTGTTTTGTGGATGAATAATAAATATATGGAACGGCCGGGAAATAGAAATTTAGCATACAATTCTTGGGAGTAAATATTGATTTTCCCGGCGTCCCTGTCTGTCTACCAAGGCGAAAGTAACTTTTTTGTTTGAGCGATGGTAACTTTAGAAGGGGGAAGATAATGGGGGAATTTCGGATGGATTTTAGGAGTCAATTTTGAAACGTTGGCCGATGTGAATGAAACAAAAATGATGTTCAAGCACACCTCCGATACCTTTAGCTCTGTTACAACAGTTTCTATCGAAAATCGGAGGCTAAGACGTCACGACAGCGAGTTGCCAATTCTCGCCTCGGGGTTTTATCCTGCAGAATAATGCAACAAACCATGTGGAAACTTGTCTACCTGCAGGAACGGCCGGGAAATAGAAATTTAGCATACAATTCTTGGGAGTAAATATTGATTTTCCCGGCCGTCTCAGGCGTGATTGAGATGATTTTGACAGATAGGTCACCGACAGTCGATGGTATTGCTACGTTGCCCGAATCCAGCCAGCGTTGGATGATATGCAATCCTGGATTATCTGTGAAACGAAGGCGTCAAGTTCAGTTTGGGAAACCCAGAATCATACACAGTGAAACTCAAGGGTGCTTTCACGAGGCAGCAATGAAGAATACAAGATAATGACGAGCAAACGCTGACTTTGCAATTCCATTTGCAAAAAGACGTTCCGTTGTCAACTACATTAGGATTCAATCCTACAAAAAATCGTATTCAAAACAGACAACAGAAAAGTTCGCAACATGCTTTCGTGATATTTGTCGCATATTCTTCGTTGTCAACTAACCACATTTCGATGCAATACTACGAAACAAGACTACACAGGAAGATCCGTAGCATACTTTCACGATATCTTGTAGCACATTTTCTTTTCAAGAAAGTAATCTGAAATAAAGTATAAATAGAAATCGAGTACAACAAGCATTCATTGAAGGTGATCTTGTGTTAACATATTTGTTGGGTACTGTTAGTGTTCTTTCTTGGATTGTTTTTCTCTTCTAGTCTTGTGAAGGTGCAATGGATGGTTTGTGTGGGAGAGTTTGAATACTCTAATTGTAATGCAAGTACGAAAGCTTCAATTTACTGAGATCATTTCTGAAACAGGAAAGTAATACAACATCACAACTAAATACTATTATCATCAATTTGGTCCTGGAACAGGCAAGTAATACAGCCAAAGCTACATTACAATTAATTGGTATTAGGATCAATTTGGTCCTGAAACAAGGAAGTAATATAATCAAAACTACATTACAATTAAATATTTTTATCATAGATTTGGTCCTGGAACCAAATTACAATTAAATAGTATTATTATCGATTTGATCAACTACTTACTGGTTTTCCCTTGCTGAAGCGCCACATTTAATCTCTACCACGGTTGTATGACATTAGCAGTCCTGTTCAATTAGCTTTCTCTAATTGGCGTCTATCCTGCAAAATCGCCCATGGTTAGGTGAAAACTTGGTGAGACTGCCAATAATTTGATTCGTGCATGGTCAAACAAAAATTGGAAGACTGCATTAGATAAGTAAGCAGAGCTATTTGATATTCAAGATCGAAGTTTACCACAAAATGCAACGAGATAGCACTGAGTTGATAGAGCGAAGCTATCAAATTCGGGTAATGGATCAATAAATCAATTATGTATGTATCCTTCAAAAATCCTTGACGTGAGGTGAAACCGCAACAGGGGTGAGGATATAATTTATTGGGACTGCAAATAAAATTCTGTAGGGGACAGAGCCATTCGATATCGAGATCGAAGTTTACCACAAAAGTGCTACCAGATAGAAATGAGTTGATAAAACGACGTGGATGAGTCCGGGTAAAGAATCAACATAACGAGAGTGTTAGAATTCTTTCAATTGATGTATGCATCCTTCATAATTCCCTGACGTAAGGTGAAACCGCTTACGGCGGCCAAGGTATAACTGCAATGCATAAAAATTGATTTGTGCATGGTGGGAAAAAAATCATGAAAGACTACACTAGATTAGCGGACAGAGCTCTTTGATATCCAAGTCCGAAGTTTACCACAAAAGTGCTACCAGGAGATAATGAGTTGTCATAGCGAATGTAATGAGTCCGGGTAATGGATCAAGATGACGAGAGTGTTAGAATTGTTTCAATTGCAATGAAATTGAAACTATAAAATGACTTTCGTGAAACGGAAGCCAAAGCGGTTTTGCTAGATTTTATCATCCCTGAGCTCAGGTAAATCCGCTAACAGAACAAAAATACTACATTGGCTTAAGTTGATACTAAATTGCAAGTAAAAATGAATGAGCCCCTTGTTCAATATTACCGAGATGATCAAAGTCGATTCCTTATTCTTCTACTGAATCAGATTTTCCACTGGTCCAAAACTTGTTGAAGCTTTCAAAGGCATGCTGAATAATGAAAAAAGGACATCTCTACCTTTACATGCTTCCTTAAAACATTTTGCTGTCAAAGTTCTCCGCGCCATTCAATAAAATGAAAATCCTCGAGGACGGGGGCGCTGCGAAATGCTGGTTGGCTGGAAATTGAACTCATTAAAGGTCCCATGAAAGAGAGGCGACCATCGAGAAGTGAATTCAAACGAAAATACGACATATCCTCATTTCGCTGTTGCTATTGTTCTACCGATCATTTCATATTTGATAGTTCGTTACTATTGTGTGTTCGACATTTTGAGTTGAGGCTATCATCAGAGCTCCCATTGGATGAAATGAAAACAGGTAAAATGACACACACTAATTTCGCTGGTGCTCTTGCATTAGTTTGATGTGAAACAGTCAAGAGGCCTTATGACAGCTTGCTTGGGAGAATGAATCAATCGCAATTGCGGTACGAGTACCGACTGGAGAGGAGCTCTGAAAGAACGTCGGAAATATCGAAAAACAAAAAAGAGTAAGGCTCCCCGCGTATTACGGTAGGAATGGGACCTTCAATTATTAAAATATCAGTCTGGAAATTATGGAAGAATTGCATGGATTCCATTCCTTCCACAATCATACCGAAATAAAGAAGAATGAGTTTGATGATTGATTCATTCATGCATTCAAAGCGTGCTGATCTAGTCCACCTTGGTGGTGCACCTTGTTATGCACGCGGTAAAAATCGGGTCTACCTGGACTTGTGAAGGATAATTATCCCTGCAATTAGGAGACGGCGAGTTCCTCCGGTTCCAATTCGAAAAATTGTCCTTGTCTTAGTATCCTCATCCGATATTTCTTCCTCAGAACCGTCTTCTCCAGACTTGGAGTCCTGTCTTCTCCATACTTTCGGTCTTGTCTGCAAGACGCGTGAGGTCCATTTAGATGGAAAATAAACTTCGGAATTCCAGAAACTATGTTTGACTTGTTAGTCCCGTGACATGGTTGCGGTGATGCATGTTCATGGCCCTTTTGGACATCATCATTCGTGTGATGTAATGTGATTTGATTTGATTTGATGTGTAAACATCTCTGTTCACAATTTCAATTTTCAAGCGATTGGAAAACCGGCAGGCGCTGTGATGATGCTAGTTTCGGTTATGGTTATTTTGTGCTTCCTGCATAGTCCTTGCGGGAAAATCGAAGAGTTTCAAAGTAACGAAAGTTTGACATGGAGGAGAGCGGCCTGCAAACTGAAATCCATTTGTCATACAATCATCGCGTGTGCTTTGAAAAGTAAAGTGACACGCAGCTTCGACTCGATGGATTAAAATTAGACGAAAACAAAAATAATTCATCAATTATATCGGTAGCAGCATATCGATATCCAACTGAAGGCAATCAATGAACCGTCCGAAGTGAAAGCGAAATGGGCCCAAAAAAGAAAATTGCCAAAAAGGCAGCTTCATCACCAAAACCATCGAGCTCGAGTTCCAAAAAGAATCTCCCTCCTTGTGCAGGGTATTTGATTTCGTGCGATGTTCCGACAAAGGAATACATAAAGCACTTGAATGAGCTGAAACCTGTTGACAAGAAATTCATTTTGGAAGATTTGGATTCCAGACATTTGCTGATCAAAAGGTATGTCCTTCTGGTTATTGCACGATGATTTGATTTGAAATTCGAATCTGAATGAAGCTGTAATTCTCAATTGATTTTTTCAAACTTTGATTGATTCTCAGAAAAGCTAGGGACGAGATTGAGCGGAAAGTTGAAGCGTGGATGGACGAGAACGTGTTTTCGGCAGTGGAGCGAGTTGGTGAAAACCTTGATATGTCGTAGCGCAGATTGCTTATTTTGAACTGAAGAACCAAATCTAGTCTGCACCACAGCAATAGTCCTACATCATTTATCAGCAAATAATAGAAACTGTAGTTTGATGTTATGATAAAGCACCATTTCTCCTGAGCTTCTACATCTAATCGGCATGGGGCTTATTGACGGGAAGGATGTTGTCCCAACCGAACAACCAAGCTAACACTTTCTCGCAGATCGAACCTGCATGTCTCCAGTCGCTATCATATTGATCCTGCACATCGTACTGAGCGAGAATGTCTTCTTCACTCAAACCAGCAGACCCAAGCGTCATTTCCTTGCCTTTAGTCTTGACAGCACTCAACCCGTGCTCAACAGACTTGAGGGAATCATTCGGCTGCTGAGCTCGCAATGTCTGAAGCAGTTGGGAGGAGCCTCTGACAGTACCGCACAATGAGTTTGAACTTAGTTTGATCGGCTGGCTGCACAGCGCTTTTTCTGCAGCAAGCCGGGATTCATACTTGATTGCTAACCAATTAGCGTTGGCTTGACTGTCGATGATGGCGCCATAAGATGTTAGGATCCTTTCTAGCTCCTTGTATTCCTCACGGTTTGCATATCCATAAGAGACTACCCAGTTGCCCGAGTCACAAGAAGGAAAATCACTTCTTTGATTTACCAACACTGGTGATTGATGTAGTAATCGTGGCGAATTCACAGGAGGTGGCGTGATGGGGGTGTTATCACGTGAACTTGTCAATTTAGATTGTCCAAAGCCTGTGTCAATTGTCGTTTCCATAGCCTGTAAATGGTTTAACGCAAAAGTGATTTCAGATCATGTTTCGCAAATTTGGTGGCAGCAGCAAAGAAGACTTCCAACTTACCTCCGTTGGTGCAGAAACCGACATTGACATCAAGCTAAGGCTTGCCTTTGGTGGTGGTCCCGGTGATTTGGTGGTTAGTTGTGATATATTGACCGATAATGACGCTAGAGGGGATCTAGGTTGATTTTGATTTGCAGTCGTTGCCATCTGAGTCGCCCCAAGCATGAATTGAGGTCTCTTCAGCAGTGGATTTTCAATCGTCAGAATCTTTGGTGATTTTGGTGACTTCGGGACTCCATTACTGTTGTCATGTCTTGGTGCAGGAAAGAGGAAAGAGGGTTGGGTATCACTCGTTGACGACATCTTCGAGTTCCTATCAATTCAAATAAAGGTCTGTTTAAATTTTAACTTTTTGCGGACAAATTGAAAATTGACTTAGCCGACTAAACTACTGCACGATCGATTGGATGGTGGATTGTGAACCGTTACCCTACCGGTACGTAACAGGGAGATGCGGGGAGTTTGCATCTGATGTGTGTGACGCGTCGTAACTTGTCATTTATTCTGAATCAAACCGCGCATGCCAAACGAAACAACACCGAACAGAGCGGAGGTTTCCAAACGAAACCAAACGACACGAAACACGTCTCGTGTTGTTTCGGAATAAAACCAAACGAAACGAAACCGCGCGATTTCGTGTCGTTTGGTTTCGTTTCGTTTGGTTTGGTTTCGATATATTCTTTAAAAAATTGTTCGTTTGGTTTTGTTTGGTTTCGATATATTCAAAAATCGTTCGTTTGGAAAAGGAAAGCACAACACGCACAAACTTATATATTGAAACCAAAAAACGATTTTTGAATACATCGAAACCAAACGTTTTTAAAGAATATATCGAAACGAAACCAAACAAAACCAAACGACGCGAAACCAAACGAAGCGAAACCAAACGAAACCAAACGACAGGAAATCACGCGGTTTTGTTTCGTTTTGTTTATTCCGAAACAACACGAGACGTGTGGTTTCGTGTCGTTTGGAAACCTCTGTTCTGTTCGGTGTTGTTTCGTTTGGCATGCGCGGTTTGATTCGGAATAAATAACAAGTTACGACGCGTCACACACATCAGATGCAAACTCCCCGCAACTCCCAGGTACAAACCCAAGCGTCCGCAGTTAATGAAAGCAAGCAAGGTGGGAGTGAAGAGTAAGAGAAAAGCAAGTACTACATATACAGACGGCCGAGAGAGCCAGCACATGCAGCTTCCATGCTGATGACTTGGTACTCGCAGCCAAAGTCTGAATTCTGAGAAATCTTGGTCAGCCTAAAGTGCCAAAGAAGCCCCCTGGCATGGATCAATTCAGCAAAGGGAGCATACCAGGCACACCTCTCCACTTCTTCTTCGGTTAGCGCACTTTCGTTTTTGCGAGCGAGAGGGATTGCCTGCTCCAACAGCGATGTAGAAACTTCCCATTTTTCACTGTCAGAACTGCTGCAATCCACTTCAATGACATACGAATCGGGTGACTGAGTTTTCAGGCCTACGACATAACCAAAGGCAGGCATCAAATTTGCGTTTTGCCATGGGGATATCTCAGCGTTGAGATAGTGTGACATCCGCTGCAAACGATGGCTGCCATCTTCACTCATTGACCAGGCGTTCAATTCCTCACTTCTGGAGCTCGTGGTAGTATGCAATCGGGAAGAGTCCCGAAAACGAGCAACAGCACAGTTCTTATCAGTGTCAAACGGGAGAAGCTTGAGGTCACAGAATCCAAGCACCTCGAATTTGTTGCTTCTGCTGCAAGTTAAGAGTTGTTTTGGGAATCGCTGGTTTTCACCCTCGATTCGAAGCAGAATATTGAATTCGTCAATCACATAGCCCACCGTCTTGTCATCGAGTTCTTCATACTTCAGCAAAATAACAATAGTGTCAAACTCAAATTGTCGCTCTTGATCTTCACCAGTCGCATGATGGGAACGCAAATGAACATCGTATAGCGATAAGTTGCGCCTGCAAAAGTCGTTTAGTTTGTCGTGCATTGACCATGGAACCGCACAAGCTTGCATCGATGTACGGCTACTACCAGTAAGTTGCAGCATCCCTTCGTACTTTGAGTTTCGAACTGACAAATTTTCGATTTGAACACCGCAGCCATCCTGAAGAAGTCTGAGCTGCTCGTTTGTCGGTTGCCAGATAGTCAATATTGCTTCCTCATCCTTGTATCCCGACAAGTCCAAGCTATGTACTCTCATTCTGATAAATGGCACACTCTCGCGAACAAGAGATGTCTCACATTCGATTTCTGCCTCCACTTCTTGCTTCAGGCGACTGCGTATCAGCATGCCTCGCTTTTCTTTCCATTCAAGCAGACGAGCCTTGTCAGGATCACTGAGGGCGCATATTGTGTCCTCAGGGAAGGTGGTTTCCATCACCTGTTTCCATATCTCCGGTGCATCTTCATCGATTTCCTAAAGTTTCATGATGTGACAAGCATAATTTTTAAGAGAATGGTTTCAAAGAACTCCAGACATGATTTTCGTACCAAGTGGCCACTCACTTTCTCGACCGCTGATTGTAAACTGGCTGTCATACGTTCCATTACAGCTAATACCCGTTTCTCATAAGACCTCCGACGTTCATCTTCCTCGGTCTGAGTCAAGACTGCAGATTTTGCCTGTGCGCAAGAGTCTACTGTTGGCGATTTCTCAAAATAAAGCAGCGGATATCGACGAAGAACAAAGATACAAATAGATGGAATGTCCCCGCCGCCGAGTATCACGTCCGAAAGCTTCTTGACGAGAAGACGGCCCTTTGAGATCCCGTTTTCAGAGCGCACAAATCCGAGCTTTGCATTCCATTTCGCGAGGCGGGTAGAGTTTGCGTGCAATTCAAGAAATACAGCACTCTGTGGGCTGCATGGATCCTGGCGTCCCTCCAACGGCTCCATTCCATCCTCTGCTCCACGCAACCTGGCATTTGACACAAGTAATTTACTCCCAATTGCAATGACACTATCGCGCACAAGTCTAACCAAGGCGCCATCAAGTTTTGCCAAGATTGGATACCAGCCGTCTGTCAGTTCGACTCGAATTTGGTTTGCAAGTTCTTCATTGTCCAAGTGGGTGAAGTTGAAATCAGTCGGAAGTATGATTTGGCTCACGGCTAGAATAACCATCGAACTTGCAGCAACATCCCGATTCAATATCATCCTTGTGGCTGGGCGAAGGCCACCTCTCAGTTCTCTTCGGTATCGCCTTTTCAATCGTGAAATGAGAGTCTCATAAGTCAGGTTGAAACCTCCAAGGTGTCGCGGAAAGCTCCTTTCATAGCTAGCAAGTTTCCAAACAATCCATCTCTTATGGTTGGTAACCCACGACTCTGTCAGCGAGTCCAGTTTGCATCCGTCGCTTACCAAAGCTTCTCGGATATCCGCAATAGATCCCACTGCGAATTCTCCACAGCTTATCTTGGAGTCAATGGTCAAAGGGCTGCCTGACGCGATATCAAACATGATTCGACTGGCGTTCTGGCTCGTTACGCACAATGTTGCTTCTGATACACCGTGTTTCTTGCAAATCGCACTATCGTCTGTAAGATCCCCAAGATCCACTGATTGCTGAAGCGTACGTTTCTCCAGTGGCGCTGCCGAGCAACTTCTCTGCTCTATGTGTCGCTTCTCTGAATCTATATCGCTCTCTGCAGCAACAAAATTGATGGGTAAAGGAGTGACAGAAGGTGAATGGTTTCTCTCTCTTTGTCGTATTTTTGATGTAGTGTCTCGAGACATTGTAATGGCCCTTCTTTTTGGTCTGGTTAAGGCCGGCGTCGTCTTCATCGAATTTGGAAGACTAGAAGATGGCACTTGGGCCTTCCACTCGGAGTTCATAGGATGAATTGTCCCACATTCAGAAGGAAGTAGGTTAAGCTTCTGCTTGAAATCTGGCGAATGGCCATCAGCATACAAACGGATTGAATTCGCCTGCAGGATATCGTTCCGTGGCGTTTCCAAATTGGAGAGCATTCTGTAATTCGCGTCATCTGACTCGTGCCCCTTCGTTTTACTGCCTTCTGTGCGTGCCAGCAGTGATTTGTTTCGGAGTAGGGACATAGATCTTGCCTTATGGCTTCCGGTGTCACGATTCCTTTCTAGTCTGTCAACGGAAGGCGCCAAGCCTACAATCGAGTATTCCTGTGGACGACCACTGATCAAAGGTGAAAGCGCTCGCCAATTATGTTCTTCAGTTTCTGCTGCCAGTAGCGCACTTTCCTGAGAGAAAAATGCTGGTGTGACCTGATTTCCATTGCGATAACCTTGTTTGATGGTCCGTTTCGATTTGGGCACAGGCGCCAGAAATGCATCCGATATTACGGAAGACCGAGCCGCTGGCAGCTTAGTCCTGGCTCTGCCAATTCCAGATAAGCTTCTGCATTCTAACGAGGACAAAAAGTTCTCGTTCGAAGGGCCTTCCAATACCACATTTCTTGAGGTCTCCTCTCCAGCGGAAGATCTGTTCAATTCTTCGTCCGAAATCGATATTCCAGTGCCCATATCAGCTTCACGAGGACCAACCATCGCTGGTACATTTGATACAGCGCCAGACTCTATCAGAGATTCATCAGAAATTGTGTTCTGCCTTGCGCTGAGGAGCAATTTAGTCGCTCCAGTAATTTCCTCTTCGGGTACCGAGATCGAAGCGCAACGTCCTGCAGTGCTGAAACCGACCTTGGTTGTTGGAATACTCAAAGCCAAGTTTTCGAGATCCATGGCTGTACTTTTTGCCCCTATATCAAGCAGTGATGTTGTTTTTGAAAGCTCCTCCTTGGCTTGTGGAGCTTCGCTAGCTTCAAAATCAGGTTCTTCAGCTATTGGTCTGCGATTGGTGTTGCTGCTGTCTAGAAACCTACTGGCTCTTGCAATCGCCTCCTCGGATACTGATACGGCAATACCCGATCCTGCTGTACGGAAACCAATCACAGGTAGCGCTTGTGGAGCTTTATGAGCTTCAAAGGTAGATTCTTCAGATACTGCTTTGCGATTGGTATTGCTGCTCTCCAGGAAGCTACTGGCTTTTGCAATCGCCTCCTCTGATACCGATACTCCGGTACCCGATCCTGCTGTACGGAAACCGATTGTATATATTGCTTGCGGAGCTTCGCTAGCTTCAAAATCAGGTTCTTCAGCTACTGGTCTGCGATTGGTGTTGGCGTTGTCCAGGAATTTACTGGCTTTTGCCATCGCCTCCTCTGATACCGATACGACGGTACCCGATCCTGCTGTACGGAAACAAATCGTATGTATTGCTTGTGGAGCTTCCCGAGCTTCCACAGTAGATTCTACAGCGCCTGGTTTGCGATTGGTGTTGCTGCTGTCCAGAAATCTACTGGCGTTTGCCATCGCCTCCTCCGACACTGATACGGCGTTCCCCGATCCTGCTGTACGGAAACCAATCACTGGTAGTGCTTGTGGAGCTTTGCTAGCTTCAAAATCAGGTTCTTCAGCTACTGGTCTGCGATTGGTGTTGCTGCTATCCAGAAACCTACTGGCTCTTGCAATCGCCTCCTCTGATACCGATACTCCGGTACCCGATCCTACTGTACGGAAACCGATTGTATATATTGCTTGTGGAGCTTCGCTAGCTTCAAAATCAGGTTCTTCAGCTACTGGTCTGCGATTGGTGTTGGCGTTGTCCAGGAATCTACTGGCTTTTGCCATCGCCTCCTCTGATACCGATACGACGGTACCCGACCCTGCTGTACGGAAACAAATCGTATGTATTGCTTGTAGAGCTTCGCTAGCTTCAAAATCAGGTTCTTCAGCTACTGGTCTGCGATTGGTATCAGGTTCTTCACCTTCTGGTCTGCGATTGGTGTTGCTGCTGTCCAGAAATCTACTGGCTTTTGCCATCGCCTCCTCCGACACAGATACGGCGGTACCCGATCCAGCTGTACGGAAACCAATCGTAGATATGGGTTGTGCAATCTCACTACGTTGCACTTCAGATTCTTCAGCGATTGGACTGTAACTAGTACTACTTTCCAAAAGTGTAGTGGCTTTTGCAACCGCCTCTTCCGACACAGACACGGGAATCCCCGATCCTGCTGTACGGAAACCCATCGTAGATATTGGTTTTGCAATGTCACTACGTTGTACGGCAGATTCTTCAGCTACTCGTCTGCGATTGGTGTTGGCGTTGTCCAGGAATCTACTGGCTTTTGCCATCGCCTCCTCTGATACCGATACGGCGGTACCCGATCCTGCTGTACGGAAACAAATCGTATGTATTGCTTGTGGAGCTTCGCTAGCTTCAAAATCAGGTTCTTCAGCTACTGGTCTGCGATTGGTATCAGGTTCTTCACCTTCTGGTCTGCGATTGGTGTTGCTGCTGTCCAGAAATCTACTGGCTTTTGCCATCGCCTCCTCCGACACAGATACGGCGGTACCCGATCCAGCTGTACGGAAACCAATCGTAGATATGGGTTGTGCAATCTCACTACGTTGCACTTCAGATTCTTCAGCGATTGGACTGTAACTAGTACTACTTTCCAAAAGTGTAGTGGCTTTTGCAACCGCCTCTTCCGACACAGACACGGGAATCCCCGATCCTGCTGTACGGAAACCCATCGTAGATATTGGTTTTGCAATGTCACTACGTTGTACGGCAGATTCTTCAGCTACTCGTCTGCGATTGGTGTTGGCGTTGTCCAGGAATCTACTGGCTTTTGCCATCGCCTCCTCTGATACCGATACGGCGGTACCCGATCCTGCTGTACGGAAACAAATCGTATGTATTGCTTGTGGAGCTTCGCTAGCTTCAAAATCAGGTTCTTCAGCTACTGGTCTGCGATTGGTATCAGGTTCTTCACCTTCTGGTCTGCGATTGGTGTTGCTGCTGTCCAGAAATCTACTGGCTTTTGCCATCGCCTCCTCCGACACAGATACGGCGGTACCCGATCCAGCTGTACGGAAACCAATCGTAGATATGGGTTGTGCAATCTCACTACGTTGCACTTCAGATTCTTCAGCGATTGGACTGTAACTAGTACTACTTTCCAAAAGTGTAGTGGCTTTTGCAACCGCCTCTTCCGACACAGACACGGGAATCCCCGATCCTGCTGTACGGAAACCCATCGTAGATATTGGTTTTGCAATGTCACTACGTTGTACGGCAGATTCTTCAGCTACTCGTCTGCGATTGGTGTTGGCGTTGTCCAGGAATCTACTGGCTTTTGCCATCGCCTCCTCTGATACCGATACGGCGGTACCCGATCCTGCTGTACGGAAACAAATCGTATGTATTGCTTGTGGAGCTTCGCTAGCTTCAAAATCAGGTTCTTCAGCTACTGGTCTGCGATTGGTATCAGGTTCTTCACCTTCTGGTCTGCGATTGGTGTTGCTGCTGTCCAGAAATCTACTGGCTTTTGCCATCGCCTCCTCCGACACAGATACGGCGGTACCCGATCCAGCTGTACGGAAACCAATCGTAGATATGGGTTGTGCAATCTCACTACGTTGCACTTCAGATTCTTCAGCGATTGGACTGTAACTAGTACTACTTTCCAAAAGTGTAGTGGCTTTTGCAACCGCCTCTTCCGACACAGACACGGGAATCCCCGATCCTGCTGTACGGAAACCCATCGTAGATATTGGTTTTGCAATGTCACTACGTTGTACGGCAGATTCTTCAGCTACTCGTCTGCGATTGGTGTTGGCGTTGTCCAGGAATCTACTGGCTTTTGCCATCGCCTCCTCTGATACCGATACGGCGGTACCCGATCCTGCTGTACGGAAACAAATCGTATGTATTGCTTGTGGAGCTTCGCTAGCTTCAAAATCAGGTTCTTCAGCTACTGGTCTGCGATTGGTATCAGGTTCTTCACCTACTGGTCTGCGATTGGTGTTGCTGCTGTCCAGAAACCTACTGGCTTTTGCCATCGCCTCCTCTGATACCGATACAGCGGTACCCGATCCTACAGTCCGAAAGCCGAGATTATTCGGAGCCATAGGGTGACCCTTTTCTGTGCAGCCTTTGGTATTGAGTACTTCTTTCCATCGGCATCCCATCAGTAGTTTGGCTTTGTGCGTTGGATCGTTGGAAATGGAGAATAAACTCTTCCATTTGGTATCTGTTACCATTATATCAGGTTTGGGATCATCTGCCATAAAAGTACCGTGTGTGATTATCTGTCTTGAGACACTGTGGTGGTTGGGTTCCATTGGTTTCTTGGTCGGCGATTGAATGTCATTTGAGAAGCCACCAATACTCGTTTGCTCGTGAATCTTGACCAAATTGCAAGGCTTGCTTGGCTCCGTCCAGTCACACTTTCGAATGTTGCTACATTGACCACCTGCAGCGTCATTGTTTATTGAATGTGGTGGACCATTGGCTTCTATGCTATTCTCCATTTTCTCCTGCGATTTCGAGGACGAATTTAGACCCGCAAGACGCTGTTCTTCTTTCTTTCCAGTGAGGGTTTCATATCGGCAATTTTGCTTCCCTGGTTGTTTGTGGGTCGGGGTTATCTTGGATACCATGTGAAATTCTGGCACTCTGTTGAGTGGTGTTGTTGCGTCACCTGATTTTGGAGCTGCTGTAAGATTCAATTGTTCATGGTCGTTTGCAGCGCTAGGACTTGTGGTTTCAGATTCTAGAATTGGTCTTTTCCGTTTCGTTACTTGGTCTTCTTGTCTCGGCTGGGGTGTTATGATTGATTTGGTTGCTTTTGATTTCTCCTTATGGTTGTGTCTGATCTGACTCGCTGGCGCCGTTTCCATCTCTCGACCAAAGGTGCTGTAAGGTGCAGACGATGACTCAGATTGCAGATTTGCAGGAATGTATACCTCGGTACGATTTTCTACCTGTGGTTGCTGTTGTGGTTGTTTTTGTATGCTGGTGGGACGCTTTCTTTTTCTCGTCGGTTTCCTAGTGCTTGTAAGGGGTGCACGATTCTGATTGAGTTTGATGGCTGCTTTTGTACTAGCGGCAGCGTTGGTCTTCTTGATACTTTTCTTGCTTTTTGAATCACTTTCCGTGACATTCTTACCGGTACCTGTAGCGTTACTGGTAAAAGTACTATTACTATTACTATTACTATTACTATTAGTAGTAGTAGTAGTAGTAGTAGTAGTAGTACTGGATTCAATAGGCTTTCGGGCGCGGCAAGCATCACACCGCCGTCTTGATATTGGATTCTCCAGCGTGCATTGGCTACATTTCCAATTTGATGGTTCCATCATTGTTGCTAATGCTCTGAATGCTTGCTTCAATGTCAGTATGTGTACGAATATGTCCGGTGGTGTTTTATTTCATGAGGTTGCGCGCAGCCAGAATTGTTCCTTTGCCATTGACTTTTTGTGTGTGTGTGTGTATGCGTATACTGTGATTGTGTACTGTAACAGATGACGATGAGTGCGAGTCGCGAAATTTATTTTTTATAATACAGTATGAGAAACCGCAAGTATGGCGCGAAACATTGTAGTCGATCTAATCAAATATACATAATGAATTCAAGATAAGATAGAACGACGAATGAACGGAATCATCAGTCGAATAATGCAACAAAACAAAACAAAACAAAACAAAAGAAACCCGTGAAGGAACCCAGCTCTAGTTATCCATATCCGCAAAACGAGAAGCACAGATGTCAGACATTAATTCCAGTCTTGAAGAAGGAATGGACCTTCTAAAGGATGCTCCACGTTCCTCGTCTAGCAATATCGCGTCTGATCGTTCGGAAGGCACAATGCACCAGTCTCTAAAACACTCCGCGATAGCATCTGTGTTTGTTTTGATCGCGTGGTACTATCCTCGGCATTTGATTCACATCGAGACTCACATCGGCAGCAAAACGCCTCCTTATCAACAAACACAAGGCGGTGACGTGATTCTGGATTTTAACCTACTGAACCCTGTTGCGGACCCACCTACAATTCCATGTAAGAATCTAGCAACTCTAGCAATCTACCGGTAGCAACACGCGCACAGTCCATCGGCGTACCAGTGCAAATCAGGACATCAACAACCGTCGTCGCTGACATATTTCTTGCTTTCCTTTCGCCTATCCTTACTATCTCTCCTGTTATTCCTGTGGTTCTCGTATTCCTAGCAAGACTGTTGATGTGGACATCGGTTTGGTTCCCTCTTTTGGGCCTTCTGACACATGCGTATATCCAAAACAAGGGTCCACAAAGACTTATACACATGACAACCGCCTTGGGTGGATTTGCCACTGCTATTGGGATTTCAGAAAGTGCTACCGTATTGCTCAAGCTATGGATCCAACGCCCGAGACCAAACTACTACAGCCTGTGCGGGTTTGACAAAACTTTATTAAAGTGCACTGCCAATCTGGAACACATTCGGGAGGCCAATTTCTCATTTCCATCAGGGCATTCTTCGCTTACAAACTGTGGTATGACCTTTCTGGTCTTGTATTCGGTTGGACAACAACTCTGCAAAGGAAACTTTAGCTTGTCCATCCCTTTCAATATCATTCTGCCCTGGGGATGGGCCATTTTTGTGGCTGCATCAAGACTAGTCGATAAATGGCATCATCCATCAGACGTTGTGGCAGGACTGGCACTGGGATTCGTTGCATCAGCGATTGCCTACCACATTTGGTACCCACCATTATGGTCCAAAATGGCTGGGATGCCGCGTTCGCTATGCATGGCAAACGTTGATGGTCTGGGTGGAATGAACAAACTTGTGTCCTTTACCGAATAAATCGAAGATACTGAATGAATCAATCATCTACCCATCTAGCACTAATCCAGTTAGTCGTACCTGTACGACCACCGCGCGGCCGCGCGAGGGAGATGACTGACTCAAAATCGCAAATCCCCTGGATCCACTCCAAACGATTTTTTGTGACCCAAACGATTTTTTGTGGACTCAAACGATTCTTTTGAACTTCAGGGGAGGAAAGGTTGCCCCTTAATTAACCACCCCTTCGAGTTGGTCGATTCTATTCAACGTCTTGCAGTCGCCCGCAACACAAAATTTGCGGTGGGTCCTGGAATTTGAGTCCCCCTTCCATAAAAAAGTACCATACTTGTGGGACGACAAGTATTTTAGGATTCTTCTCTTGCATCCGCAGACGAACACTGACGAACATTGAGATGACGGGACCACATGGATTAACTGCGCGTGCGTTGGATATTGGTACCGCTGTTAGGGGGATCGGTGGGATCATCCCACTGTTTCATTATGGGTTTACTCTAGAGGGGAATTTTCGATGGTGACTTACCTCCCCGGTACACTACAGACTTACTGAAGGATATATCATTACCGCGCATTTCCGCACGAAACGTATATCAAAATCATATACTTTTCCGCAATACCTGGAAATCATCTACCATACGATTACTAGTGAAATTTTAGTTCCCGCATGGTATTGCGGAAAAGTATATCGGCACTCCGGGTTACGAATACACGATGCGAATTCAAGTTGGGACTCATTTTGTTACGTAGAAATCGTACTAATTTGAACGTAGACCAGAATACTGGTCTGGTTTCAGATACCGCACGGTATATATTCAAATATGTACGAAAACATCAAACATCAATATCGATGGAACGAACAAATGAAACGAAACGAGACACGAGAAACCAAGATATTTATGTAAATGTAATACCTCTGGCCTCGCTGTGGATTTTCTCAATAATGGCTCACTGCAAAACCTGTACCAGGCAAGGGTTGGTGGCATCGCTTTTGTCAACCCATCATCTATCAACGGAACATGCTGCATGGACGGGGATACCACAAAACTTGCAACAAAACTTGCAACGGTGCGCTCCAGGTCCTTCTTTTGCACAAGACTCGGCTTCGCATCCAGCACATGCACATTTGCCCACTTTTGCTGGCGTTGTGCAAGGTTGGAATCCTCTTGTTCTGTTGCCAAACATATCAATCAGCCGTGGACGGAAAAGGGCTTTGATTTCCACCACATTATTGGGGACACGATAACTTGCTACTTGATCCTCTTTGTGTTGGCGTCTGTTGAGTTCTTGTTGATATTATCATGGCCATGATGAAGACAAAGGACCGTCAGGAGCATTATTTTGGCTCTCTTTTGTGAAGAACATGCTGTATTGCATTCCTTCTTCATCTCCAGTTTCGACAACACTTCTTCATCCCCTGACTCAACAATCAACACTGTTCTGTGATGGCTGGTCCATGAGGCTATCGATGCTTTGATTTGATACCGGTCGTTGTTTTGCTTGGATGTCTGTGTTCTCTGCTGAGAAGATCACTGCCAGATGGCCGATATCGTTGTCAAACCGATGACAGTCTGTTTGCAACCTTGCCTTTTGCAGCGAACCATTGGGTCCAGCAGAGATACAAAAAACTTCTGGTTTAAATCCAAAATTGGATTGAGCCCAGAACACTAGTGGCGGCTTCTGTCACGACGAAAAGCAGGGATGTGGTGGAGTGGCGATACCGTTGTTCAAGTTTCGCTCCTAGAATGCATGACTTCATAGCCGAAGGCCTCCATAGTATAATATAACACCCCAGTATAATATAAGATATTAGTTGACTGTGAATCGTTTATTTTTATGTTCTTTTTTCTTGGCACTTCTTCCCTTAGAATCAACCAGACATATTCTCTCCTAAGTATCGGGTCGGCAGCCATCTTGGTATCTATTGGAATACTACGTGTCAATTAATTGAGAAGGGCACATGCACTGGTACCTCACATCCAAACAACGAAGTATAGAAAAATATAACAATCATTTCTACTAAACTTTTTAAGGTCTTCCCCCCAAGATATGACAGGGAATTGTTACTTCGCTCATCTCCTCCTTGACCAAAATGGTTGGAGTATTTTCAATTTCGTCTCATTGTCGGGGCAAGAGTTAGAGGATGCACGATGTAGACCCCCTTGCAAGACTGATCACCTCTTTTGGGAAGGTAACACTTCTTCTTGAAGTACTACTACTATAGAGTAGTACTAGCTAGCCTAGTACTAGGCAGTGCTGGGCGTCGAAGATATGCCCCATGGTCCAATCACCACGATTCACAGTAGCTGACACATCGTGTTTCCTCCAGAGAATGCATGCCCCCCAGCTGGCTGGGGCGTTCCCTCTTTTCTCTCTTTGCGTGTCCTTGATGTGTTCTTGGAGTGAAATATGCCATGATATTTAAAAAATTGCATCAAACGATATCCTGTGCTTCTATCCACGATAAGCTATGTTTATATGGTGATGGGACGTACAGACGTTACCGTATATCAGACGATATACCGGTACGTTTCAGCTGGTCACTACAGTATCGCATTGTAGTATCTTACGCAGTCTTTTTATGTCATCACTAATCGAAGATTACCCGGCGCCGCCTCCACTCCTGGGCTTGAATCGCATGATGTAGTCTTTGTCTGGAGAGATCGCGCACGTATGCTACCATGGAAACTGTGGCAAAAGCCCGATGCTACATACGAGAAGCGAGTAGGTTTGGCACAGTAGCGAGGTACTAGGTTAGTGACTGGTTTGCACCGAGGTCGAATCATAGGATTCGAAAAGGACAATCAATAGGATTGACAGACAAACCCGGACCAAATCCAGCCTTGCCTATTTCAAACAAGATCGGAAAGCCTGCCAATCAGAAAATGCTTGGCGTGTCTTCTCCAGCTTGTGACAAGTCAAACATCGTGAAAACAAAAGTCCAGCGATTTTTAGAGGGAAACGTACTGCAGTTACCCTGTATATGAAAAACATGCATGAGGATATTCGCAGTCGCTAATTCAATGATAGCAGTAAGAAAAAGGAGAGGGGAAAGATAATAGTAATCAATGGTCTAGACTAGAGCTTATTCAGTTTCCTTCATCTATTCGTCAAGTAAATTTGTCTTGATAAATTTGTGTTTTGAATTCACAGTCGTAACTAAATGTCTTGATGTCACCGTCGTAACCCAATAACACGGATGAAGCGGAAGAGAGTTCTCTGCTATCCTTGTTGAATCCAAAGGTTCTATTTCGAGAAGTGTTCGCAGAGGGCGACCCGATCCATCGTTTCGGTGGGCTGGATGATTGGATATCATCGGAAGGGACACCATCCATGGTATTTCCCGCGGTCTTGCGAAGTGCAGTCTCCGGAGACTCCTAGATCATCACCACCACTACATCCATCGGATTAGAACAACGCATCATCTATTCATTCTCATAGTGTGCATCATGCCATAATGACGCTCATTGGCAGATCGGAAAAACAATGATGGCTCACAACAAATGACCAAATGACGAGAACAATTTTAAAAATTGAACTTTATCAAATACCGCGCGTGACTATTCAGGTCTACATAATATAAAGAAAGTAAGCCTGAATCCAAGCTGATGAGTACAATGTTAGTGTTCAACGCTGCGGTATGTATAAAGCGTCGAGCTTGACCATAACAAGTCGAAGTAATCATCCACACAAAATTCAATCTCTTGCTTTCATCATTTTTCCATCCCTAAAAGTGTACTGTACCTCGAAGAGCGACGCTAACTTTGGAAAGTCACAGAACTAATGACGAAAGAAAGAAAAATATCGACAATCAAAGCATCTAAAGACGGCAGTGTTTCCAGACGACACCGGACAGGAGGCACAGGCCTGAATGACTTCTTCATTGGCGTCTTTGGTCTTTGTTTCCTTCTAAGTGTATCGTTGAACTTTCTCCATGACTCTGGGACTATTCCACATATACATAACACAGTTGTTGAGAGTGCAATACAAGAGTTCAAACAAGATAAGAAACGCAAGGTCGGTCCAGGAGAAAATTCCAATTCTGAAATACGTTTGGCAAAGCTGAACTGTGAAAAGTGGGGAGGACCGGAAATTGCAGCTGCCCAAGAGATGGTGTACTGGGAAGATATTCCATCGGACGAGACATTTGTTTCTCCCTTCTGCCAACAAGGGAAGGAAAATTTCATGACATTCGAACCGGATGGGGGTGGATGGAGTGAGTCTGATTCGAACAGATTGTTTGGATTCAAATCTTTCTTTCTCTTGTCTAACTCTGTTTGATGTCCTTCCAGACAACATAAGAATGGCAATGGAGAGTACTATCGGGCTCGCTTATGCAATGTGCCGCACCCTTGTGATGCCACCACAGAAAAGAATGTATCTACTTGGGAAGGGTGGAAAAAATCAGAGAAAGTATGATATTGTTGCCGCTCACGATCACTGTACTATCTATGTGGCTCATCACAAATTTCGCTTTGTTATGGTATAGCCACTTCAATTTTGTTGACTTCTTTCCGATTGAAGAAATGGCAAGGGAACACAAGGGATTGAACATAATTTCCATGAAGGAATACCTTGAGACCCGTGGTGAGTATTAGAGACAGTTTTCGCACATAACAACGCCTACAGACTCAATGTTTAGCCTTGCTTTCAAAGCCGTGACAGGCAAGCTACGAAATGCGGTAAGATTTGAGGCGCAGTATTCGCGTTCTGTGTGTTTCTGTTTTTGCTGCATCGGAGAATTGAGGATTGGATAGCTTGTAGTACTGACCATGTGATTGTCGTTCTGTGTTATAATAGATAACTGGTGAAGTTGAATTTCCACCAGGGAATCGGACTGATTGGGATGGCATTGATGGACAAGATTACGACGTTCTTCGTGGTTACCTGAGAAATGTGTCAGAAACAGCGACGTGGAACCCTGGGCAGTGCTTACCAGCCTTCCCTTCTTCAGGGGATCATAAAGATGTGGAAGTGCTACAGAAGCTGGTACAAAGTGCTCGAAGAAATGTTCCTGGAGGCACACCAGTGAAAGTGGATGATCCAAATCCGTTGGGGCGACTTGAGGAAACTTTAGCTGGACGACATGATTTATGCGTTTACGATGAAAGAATGCAAAACTTGCCAGTTCTTCATTTTCAATGTAACCACAAAAAGAGACTCAGGATGCTAGTGCACTTCTATGTAAGTGACTTTTTGAAGTGTCGTGTCAAATCGAATACGGCGATCCTCACAGGTTGCTATTCCACCTAAGGCTTTTTTATTTTTCGAGAATTGGAAGGAAGATCTCTGGATGAAGAGATTCATTCGTGACCGTAAGTTCTGAGATGACGTGTCTACTGTGTCAATTTCACATCCTTATGGCCCATTCCTGCTTATACTGTATCTTCCAATTTTCATGGACAGACGTGCATTATGTAGACGAGATCCAATGTGCCGCTGCACGATTGGTGGCAGCCATTCGCGAGCATGTTCGGAAAAGGGATCCGAATAACACAAATGGTGACTTTGATGCTTTCCACATACGTCGAGGGGATTTTCAGTTCAAAGCTACCCGCATTGGGGCCGACGAAATCTATGAGAACTCAAAAGATGAACTGATTCCCAACTCTACCGTGTTCATCGCTACAGACGAGCGAGATAAGAAATTCTTCGACCCTTTGAGAGCGCACTATGATTTGCTCTTCTTGGACGACTTCAAAGACGAGTTGAAAGACGTGAACACTAACTATTATGGTATGTATCAATTACAGCTTTTGCGGCAAATAATCAAAATCAATTCAAAACATTTGCTGACATATAAAATCCCCAAACTCGCGGTACGTCTCCTTCATCCTCAGGAATGATAGATCAGCTGGTTGCGAGCAGAGGCCGGTAAGAATGACAGGATTTGGGTGACCTCCAGCTCTCTTTGTTTCCGCGATCTTACTCTCATGGTTTCCTTTCAGGATTTTTTTCGGTTGCTTCTTTAGCACCTTCACTGGATACATCATAAGGATTAGGGGGTACCATTCGGTCAAGGACAAGCTTCCTGGGCATGAGGATGGCCTTCTAACCAACTCATTTTATTACGCTACGAAGGATAGAAAACTCATAATGCATCAATATGCAATATTGAGAGGTGGGTTCTTCAATAGAGAATATCCCACATCATGGCGTGATATCGACAAGGGCATCGATACTTTGGAGAACCCACAGCAAGTCACAACATATGTCAGATAGCAGTCGGCATGTGCAGCAACATCATGCGCTAGCGGTTGTTCTTCGATCCACTCCATGAGTTGCATTGCATAGTAATTGATAAGGATACAATGGAGTGAATCCACTTTGGAGGTATGTAGAGCACCTCACCAGTCTTCAAGACAGCCTCTGTAGCCCTGGCCTTGGCGAACATCGGATGCTCTGTGAGGTTGGGAGTACTCCAATTGACTGCCGAATGACGGGCCGATGGGTGAGCGCCCGAATGAATGTAAAAGTTCGCATAGTTGCCACTGCCAGGCCTACTGAGAATGTATCGCCGTTTTCCACCCAAAAGAACTAGAAAATTGCGGGGCGTATCAAAGTGCGCTTGTGATGTGATCCCTGCCATTCCAAATTTACATTGGATTCGTCCCTTTTGCTTGTCCGCTTCGATAATGTAGAAAGACTTCGGATCCGACAAACAACGGAGTTCTGTTCCTAGGGTCGCAAGCCTTGAGGTAGTAACATTGGCTGTGCTTTTACATTCACCTTTTTCATAAGTTCCGCAAGTCATGAATTTGAAATACCAGTGAGGCTTCTCCGAATCAGATTGAGGTCCCGCGTCTCTTGATGTTGCCCTAGTTGCATTTTCTGTTTCGTGAGCGAGAGCTAGCCACTCAAGATATGTCATTTGTACAATTGTGTTCGTTATGTTGAGTGTTTTGTCCTCCTCTTTTCCACCTTCCGGTAGTCCAGGATTTCTCTTTCTTTTCTTCCGGTCGCCCTTGTATCGAGCTTTCAGAATTTGGTTGACGTAGATATAATGATTCGTGGGGCTGTATTCTGTTGTGTACTTTGTATTCTGACCCAACATTTTGACCAGATACCCGGGCTTGTTCCATCGATGCGCGGCTAAACATTTTACGAAGTGATTTAATCAAATGTCTCAAAATTTAGCAATTGGAATTGAGTTTTCAAGTCTCTTACCTTCTAATACTTCTGGATCTCCTGCCATGATAAATGGAAGTTCCAGTTTGCGATAGCGCTCCATCTTCTTTCGATCAAGTGCGTTGCTCCATTGAAATACACACAAGCTTTGATACGAGGTATCCTGTCTCGCTTCAGGGCCATTTATTTCATCAATGGGCCATGCCTCGAGCATCTGCAACAGATTGAATTGCACCGGATAACCAGGAATTGGTTCAAGAAGGCAGTGGGTGGATTGGTTGAAGGTATTGTTGAGACCCCACCGCGAATCTCTAGTCACTCGGTGACGATCATGTGATCTGAATGTGCGATTTGGATTTGCTGAACCCTCAGTGTTCATCGTTCTTGTTGATGCCAAACATTTGAAAATAACGAGCAGCAATACGAAAAGCGCGACGCGAAGAAGGATCCAGATTATCTTGATGTCGTGACGTTGAGGACGCGTTCGACGACGACTTCGTTTTTGTCGTTGTGAAGTAGAATGAGGATTCGCATCAAATCGTGAAACTGTTTCTCTATCTTGTGGTCGGTTTCGTCGCTGCATTCTTCCTGCAGATCTCAGTCGCCATCTTCAGTGCTCTTTTCTGTATTGGTAGTCTGCGAAGTTGAAAGTGGCCCGTCTTCTTTTCCCAGGGCAGCTTTGCTTACTATGGCACGTAACGGATAAATGGGGTTTGCAAATCATCTCACGACTTCTACGTACGTACCGGTATACGTGTACTGGTACTGTACATGTCGTCAGCTGGGGGCTGTTTTCTTTCAAAGAGCAAATCAAAATATATGAGGGGAGAGTTTCAGGGGATATGAGAGACTTGCCAAACTAAAACACCAGTGCTGAATAATAATCAGGCATCAGCCAGATCCAGTTCTACCGGTAGATTGGATGGTCCTGATCATCAAATATAAAGAATAAGGAAACTAGAAACATTCCATACCAGCCACTTGCAATCTGATCCGCAAACCTGCTTTTCCAGAATGGACGCAACCTAACCAAACCACTGCAGCTCCAGTTGAACAAGTTCTGGCCTTCCTGACTAGCGCTACATGGTGATGGAAACGTATAATAGTAGAACGTATTGTTCAAGCTTCTAGCCAGATTCGACTATAATTTTTGTCTTCAACAGTAGTATCCAGTTTGATTGTCGTCTTGTCATTGTTTAAGTCAAGTCATTGTCTCCGCATTGGCGGAATCAAGTCCTCATTTGTTCTATTCTATTCTCTCGTCAGATTTTTTTTTCACAGACAACCCTGCAAGCGTCTTTCTATACGATAGTAGACAGCTTCGTTCAAAACACTGGCCTGGAGAGAAAAAAATTGGCCACAATGGAGCCCAGTCGGGATTCTGCGTTTGTTGTCGTTTTTGAATCTTTCCCAACAAATGTTGATTATTGTGTCTTCGCTCGTTGCATACACAAGTAGTATATTTGCGATGAAATCGAGCCTTGCGTTCGCCCTTTATGTTTCTACCCAAACAACAAGCCGATTGATGCTTCAGGTCCAGATAATCAGCAAATTGCACAGGCTAGTTGTCGCAAGCCTCAGAGAAGTGTATACTTCACTAGAATCGCAGCGATAATCTCAACTGGTAGATTTGACTGTTCTCTCATGCCTTGATTGACCTTTCCAGGATGAAGTCGATTCAATCACAATATGATGCGATCAAGTTGTTAAAACCACTTTCAACAAGCGCGAAGTTGGGGGTGGTTGCGCTTCTATCGATCCGTAGGACCTCTCGATCGATTGCATGTCTCTCACAACAAAAACCCTGACTCCGAATCCACAATGCTGGCGTATTGTCGCAGCTCGCGTGAAGCTGATGATTCATTGTGCTGCTTGTTGTGCTGCTTGTTGCGCTGGAGTCTGCCGTTCTCGCTTCAGGCGCCTGTCATGTCGTCATCTTTATCTCACTAGGTCGCAACTGTTGTGGTGCTGCTTGTTTGTTTTGCGGTTCCTTGGCTTTTGTCTGCAAGCTTGAAGTTGATGTGATGTCGATGCAAAACAATGACACATGCTTTAGTCCTCAAGGGATACCCCGCAGAAACGCGTCAACTGAGAATTTCGTGTGATTGTAGTGAAAAGAGCACCCTCAATGGCACGGAAGGTCGCAATTTTAAAATTACTTAATGGATTCACAATTGAAATCAATTTCAATAAGAAAATATATTTTCTAATTATTTTCATTTATGGGACGAATCAACCCCATTTTAGGAGAAACGACGTTTACTTCGAGGCCCACGCGGAATTCAGACATCACGCGAAGGCCCACGCGGAAATCAGTAATCGAAGATTACCCGGCGCCGCCTCCACTCCTGGGCTTGAATCGCATGATGTAGTCTTTGTCTGGAGAGATCGCGCACGTATGCTACCATGGAAACTGTGGCAAAAGCCTGATGCTACATACGAGAAGCAAGTAGGTTTGGCACAGTAGCGAGGTACTAAGTTAGTGACTGGTTTGCACCGAGGTCGAATCATAGGATTCGAAAAGGACAATCAATAGGATTGACAGACAAACCCGGACCAAATGGGGTACCGAGCTATGGTGCAAATGAGAGAGCCACCAAACTACGGGTGCGATCGCTTTCCGGGAAAGCGGAAGACAAAGGCCACAAACATGCGAGCGCAGGCGTGGGAAAAATAAAAATAAAAAATCAAAATCAAAATCAAAATTGCAAAAAAAACAAAAGAAAGAAAAAGAAAATTGAAAAAAGAAGAGAAAGTTCCCAGGATCGAAAGCTGGGCGTTCGATCATAAGGGAAAGAAGAAAGGTGGAGGAAGGGAAGTGCCCGAGAAAGCAAGCGAAAGGAGGGAAAGGAAAGAAAGGGAGAAAGACAAAGTGGAAAGGGAAAACGGAGAAGGGAGGAGGAAGGAAGAAAGGAGAATAGGAGGAGAGTAGTAGATGGGATTGTGTATCTAAACAATGTTTGGTATGAGTCGAGAAGCAGCGCGAGCTGCAGTCACTTCAGACTGAGGAGCCGAGGCATGTTGGTTAATTGCCCGGTTTTGTTGCTCCGAAAGGTGTGCAACATTGCGAAGGTAAAGGAAAAGGAATCAGAGCGCCAGCGCAAGAGAAATTTGATCTGGATAGCGTTGATACCCGCAGCGTGAAGGATCACTGCCGCCCCAGCTCGAAGAGAGTGGGACGTATATTTGTAATGTCGCTGAAGATCGCGATCAGTCAGGTTGTAAGTCTTCTTGGCCAAGGTCCGAAGGGTGGAAGCAATGACTTTGCTGTGGATGAAAAACTTTTCACCAAAGGACCCTTTGTACACTGCAAGTGGGATATCGGTCTTATCCAGGCCGACAATCCGTGCAAATCGGCTGACAATGTTATGGAGACTCCGCAGAGCGTCACGGGAAGGGTTACGAGGAGTGCTGGAAAGCAGTTTTTCCTCACCGTGATCATGGTTCTTTTGCCAAGAGAACTTGACATTGGAGCGGGCCACGGCATCAAAATTCTCGATAAACTCAGCAATCGAAACAGGACGGGTTCCCGAGTCGAACAAACGAATATCATCGAGAGTGAAAGCGCGTTTCGTACCATTCGGGGCAATCTCGCCACCGGAAGCCAGGCGACGGTAATCATCCTCCTGGGCCCATTCGCGAAGGCGAAAACCTAAATAGGTACTCAGGTTAAACCAATCTTCCATAGCACGATGTAAACCATCCATATGTGCGGTTGTAGCGGTATTCCGAGCCACCAGGGTGGTATGCATCTCAATTGTATAGGGGTCGACTCGATGAGGCATATTCTCATGACGCTTACATTCGTTCAGAACAGCGCGGAGGGGAAGCGCCAACTCATTGTCAGAGCGATTAGTGTAGCGGGGATCTCGACCACAGAAGTTTTCAAGAAGGGTAGCTGTATCACGAAGGTAGTTGCCGATGGTCGCTGCTTTGATGGGCTTGCCCTTGACGGTATTGCCCACCGCCAAGTCGACTGCGAAGGCAGCAAGAAGGTGTGTACGGGCATCATGGGAGACGGACTCCAAAAGTAGATCCTTCGGTGGCCAATTTATACGACGCAGAAAGCGGAGGAAATGGATGCGGTGGGAACGAATTGTCCCAAGGACTCTGGTAGATTTGGTGGGACCGGACTCGAGCTGCATAACAGCGCGGATCTGAGAACGGAGATGAGTTTGGCACTGGGCTGGAAATTGCGCAAGGCGTTCATCCAAGGATACTTCTGTGATGTCTGCAGAAAAAGGCGTTCATGTGAGAGAGAGTTGGGGCGAGAAATCCAATCAGCGAGGACATTGCCATCGCCAGGGATGTGCACCGTGTGGCAGACCAAGGTAGATCTCTTCAAGAGCTGGCCGTAGAGCGCAACCAAGGCCTGAGCCAACGGACTGGTGGTCCATGTGTCATGGACCCAAGACACCGTCGCAGTGGTGTCCGTATGACAACGAAGGACCGGGAACGCCGGAATACCATTTGGGAACAAATCACGGATGGGAGCAGAGAGCGCGGAAGACTCGATGGTCACGACAAGGGCCACTGCCTGCAGGAAGGAAACGAGGCACTCCAACACATTGATGTGGATATAAGATGCGTCGGAGGGCTTTAACTTAGTACCTGCCACAATATGTTTACTCCAAACAACACGAAACCAGTAGTCCAGGGACGCAGAATAAGCGCCGCCCCCAATAAAACTAGCATCGCCAAAGGACTCGAAATGGTGGTCGCGAGGGATCATCTGGGAAATAAAAATCTTCCATTCCTCAGTTTGTAGGCTATGGATAATTGCCTTGACCTCTCGAATTGCAGCCGGACCCAGCTTGTAGGATTGCTTGGAGCCCCAAAGAACGTTAGCCATCTTACGGCTCAGGATCCCATCCATGCGGTGGATAAAGGTGGAAGACAGTCGAGAGGCGATCTGAAGCTCCCAGGCCTTCCGTCGGTGGTAGCCGATGAGGGTGCGGTACCGATGAATGAGGATCATACGAAGAAGGCGTTGCAAATTGAAGTAGGAACAGCACATATGGCGGCAAACTGTAGTGGCGTTCGAAAGCAAACCAAGGAGTTCTGCGATTTCTTGAAGAGTTAGACGATGTTTCCGGAGAAAGGTCCGGAGCCGTTGGATGAGACGATCTCGTTTCTCAGATGGGAGGCTCACCGTAAGGGCGCGGGAATCAATCAACCAACCAAGGCAGTGTCGACGATGGGAAAAGGTAGTGGTGAACCTTTCCCAAGACACGCAATCTCGAATCCCTTTTGAGGCATCTGGAAACCAAGGATCAAGTAAAGAGCCAGAACACTGGAGGCAATTGTTTGTCTCAGTGTCTTTGCGACATCAACATAAAGACAATCATCCACGTGGTGGTCGAAGTTGGGTGGGATCCGAGATCCGTCCGGGTTGAAGACACCTTTGTTGATGGAGTCGGCTTCCGCTGGGGTGAACTGTGCGATCTCGTCAGGTGTTGGTTCCGGTGATGTCGATATCGCCGGAAGGTATTGTAGAACCCTAGCAATCGTAGAAGCCTGTGACCAGAGGAAGCGTGCAAGAGCCATACGGCTTAAGGCTATAATCTCGAAATTCGACGGACATGTATTGCCACCGAATGTCAGACCAGTGCAGAAAAACAGGAAACCGAAAATGGAAAACGTATGCATACCGATCACATTTGGGTTCCATTTCCCGTGGCGAAAGGCGCCCGAGACGTCGTCGTCACCAAGGTAAAGTTCCTCAGATTTGTAGCTGATCCGAGCATTGTAGATATATGCCAGGTGGTTCCGAAGCGATTTTGGAAATTCGACCTTGTGCTCCGTATCTTTGGTTGTCATATCGTTGGTAGCGATAGACTCGAGCAAAGGACGAAAAGTGCCATCACAAATTTGACGATCGCTCTTTCCTGGGACAACCACCAGGCCTTGTGGGATCTGCTGTGTATCTGGTAGGAAGGGCGTCAGCAGAGGGTTGCCAACAAGGCTGTGGGATCGGGCGAAATCTTTCTGGACTGCTTTCTGTGTTTTTTCGACATTGGTATAGACCGAGTCGTGATTTCCATATTCAGCGAAGGATCGCCGATTCTTCTCGGACGACGTGGCATTGACATAATTCGGACAACCGTCAACGAGCACGCGCCGTAAATTTGCAACCAGACCATCATCGACTGATGCCGCACGGAGCTCTGGTTCTAAAGTGTTCCAATCACGATGGGCCCCTGTATGTATGTTCCCAACGTAGCGAACGGCAGTAGCTACATCCAAGTTGTAATGTAACAAACAGGCGGTGAACAATCCGGCTCCAACTGTGCATGACTTGGCCCATTGGTGTATCCGAAGGAAGGACGGAACGAAGTGGCCGAAAGTCAACAAATTCGTGGCCCTTGAGTACCAGACGAAGAAGTAAGGCTCCGGAGAAAGCCTTGCCCAAGCGATCGCCGGTCGTTTTGTCCAAGTAGCCGCTCTTGTAGAGAAAAACAAAGGTATGGCGAAATATACTTTCCGTCTTGAAGCATCGGTCATTACTGTCCTTACCATATTCTTACTCCACAGCGAGGGCAGGTCTACTCAGGAGATCCCGAAGAAATTGGGATTGTTCCGACCGAGTAAAAGTAGGTGTTACCCTTGCACCCTGTTCCAGAATATGGCGGAATCGTTCCGCGACAAGCATGTCCGCAGGGTCGAGCTCGTCGAAAATTGTTCGAGTTGGGGGATAGTCCTGGAGAGCACACTCGTCCTGTGGATCAATGCAATGTGACATTGGTGCCGACCGAGACGCGTAGTAGTGGACCTGGCAGGTGAGAGTGCTTACTGATGCGGCCGCCACTTGGTGGGGCAACAACAATCAACCATGAGAGAGAGGGAAAGGAACTAGGACGTAAGTGGAAAGCAAAGTTGTGATAAGAAAGAGAGGTACTTAAGTAAAAAGAAAACTAACCGGCACGCGGTTCCTGCCCAGGAGCCCATTTGACATTTGGAGTCGATTGGACCCAAGTCTTGAAGGACTCCTGTTCGCTAGCAGGGCGAGATTGGTACACTCGCTTATGGAGATGGAGCAAAGGGCAACAAGTATTCGTGCACTGGAAGTTCCGGAAGAGGAAGTTGACGCAGGCGGTCTTCTCTACACCGTTGGGTGATAAAATGGCCAAAGAGTATTCGCCATGACAGTAGGACTCGCTCTTGAGCTTTGGTTGCCGCGTCATTGGTGGTCGCGGTCTTTGATGCCAAAATTGCCTCCTTGATGATACTGGCGTGGTCGATTGGTTGGGCAGCCCCGGTAGGAATACTTGGTTCGGCCGAGACATCGGTGTGGGCACGGGAGAGCGTATCGACCTTACTGTTGAAGCTAGTAATGTACTTGTAAAAGGATTCAGAGCCGGTCCGGGCGTCGCGAAACTCGTACCCAGATGCTGTGGAGAGAGTATTCTCGGAGATTGCAGCTAGCTGCTCGTTGACAATAAACTGGTCCAGTGGGATAGAAGTCTTGCCGACGAGTGTCTCGTCGACAAAAAGGCTTCTTCCCATCGTATTCTTGAAGAGAAAGGCATGAACTTCGACCCATAGACGTTCGTGAGGCGAAAGGACAAGAAGAACTTCTTCAGGGACGTCTTGGGTAAGGTCCAGATCCGGTGGCATCTTGCTACCTGGAACAAGTGGGCAGAAAACTGAGACTGCACAGAAGGTTGGTGATTCGACTGTGAAGTCGATGTCTTCAGGTAAGTCTGCGTCGTTGGCGTTCTTGGCGTTGCTCGGGTGGTACTGGGTGTCCTTCAGCAGAGGGACGCAGCACGAGACGGCGCGGCATTGTTGTTAGAATAAAGGTACCATTCTTGGGATGCGTAGATGCTCGTCAAACTTGATTGCATGGTCATCAGAAGAGGGAGCGGCCAAATGGATCTTTGGCGTATCGTTCACTTGGATTCCTTTTTCTTGCAGAATAAATGGAGGAATCAGGTTGTGGGTCATAGAAGGTACATGTAGAGCATTTCAGACAACAAGGTTTTATGTCTTTTTCCTTTGTTATCACCCAACATCAAAACAGTTTATCAGTTCCCACTGTCTATTGACTACCCAGAATGGTCATCACAAATGCCCAAAACACTGCTTTCTTCACCCAGGATGCTCAGATGGCAATCCCACCAGGAATTTTTGCTCCCCATCTGAATCAGCAAGGCATCACAACAATAGATTCGCTCAGGGAGTTCAATGATGGCATGCGGAGCTCAGATAATTTATGCACAGCATTGGGACCACACTTCGCGTCCTGGAGCAGGGAACACCGTGGTCAAACCGTGCTGAACTCTATGTTGGATTGATAAAGGCGGCAGTCTGTCGTGATATGCGGACCTCCAACTGCCCCTTGGTTTTCTGGGACTATTGTCTTGAACGTCACGTAACCATCAACAACCTGACTGCAAAGAATCTCTTTCAATTGCATGGAAAGGTTCCGGAGGAAACTATCACTGGCCAGGCTGGTGATATCTCCAATGTTGCTCAGTTTGATTATTATGAATGGTGCTATGCGATGGAAAATGAGGCTGGCTTCCCCTCAAATAAGGAAGTACTTGGACTTTGCCTAGGGCCTGCGACAGGCGAGAGTAACAAAATGTGTCAATGGGTTTTGAAACCGAATGGTAGAGCTGTCTCACGACAAACAGTTTGCCCTCTCACGTCTGGAGAGCTTCATTCTGACATGGAAATCAAGAAGCACGATGCTTTTAACAAATTAATTGAAGCCCGCTTTGGCAACACACTTGGTCGTCAACGAAAGAATGTACCTCTTCCAGAGGAGGAGGAGGAAGATGAGTGGGCTACCTACCAAGATGACGATGAATTTTCAAAACCAATACCTGACAATGAAGACTATGTTGACATTCATGGACGTCTCATCAATCAGCAGCCGGTGTATGATCTGCTCCTAAATGCTGAGATCAAGATTCACACGGATGGTGAACAAATTTCCATTGGAAAAGTCAAACAACGAGTCACAACTCCTGAAGGAAAACAGATGGGAACCTACCATCCCAATCCAGCGCTGAATACCATCATGTATGAGGTTGAATTTGACGATGGAACGGTCAGGGATTATGGAGCAACTACCATTGCCGAAAACCTTCTCACGCAGGTGGATGACAATGGATACTTGAACACGATGTTCAAGGCCATTGTTGACTACAAGAAAGATCCAAAGGTGGCTGTCTCAGAGGAAAAGTCTTATGTCATTAGCAAGAATGGACAGAGATGAACCCGAAAGACCACCAAAGGATGGAAACTGATGGTCCTATGGAACGATGGAACACAGTCTTGGATTGGCTTGAGCGTCTTAAAGGAATCGAATCCCGTTGATGTCGCTGAATTTGCAAAAGCGCATCATATTGATGAGGAACCTGCATTCCGCTGGTGGGTACCTTATACACTCAGAAAGCGAGACATGATCATCTCTGCTGTTAAGGCCCGTGTCAGAAAGACTACGCACA